TTGGCTCCCAGTTTCCCATGCTTGGCTCCCAGTCTCCCATGTTTGGCTCCCAGTCTCCCATGCTTGGCTCCCAGTCTCCCACGTTTGGCTCCCAGTCTCCCATGCTTGGCTCCCAGTCTCCCACGTTTGGCTCCCAGTCTCCCACGTTTGGGCCACAATCTCCCACATTTGGGCCACAATCTCCCACGTTTGGGTCACAGTCTCCTACATTTAGTTCACAATCTCCCACGTTTGGCTCCCAGTCTCCCACGTTTGGCTTCCAGTCTCCCATGTTTGGCTCCCAGTCTCCCATGTTTGGCTCCCAGTCTCCCACGTTTGGCTCCCAGTCTCCCATGCTTGGCTCCCAGTCTCCCCAGTTCCAGTCGCTGGGTGCAGCACAATCAGTAAAGTCAACCTGCAAGAGTCCCATTTGCCCCTGCAGATGGAAGTGGCCCATCAGGAAAGGCCCTGGGGGTGTTGGTGACAGCAGCTGCACATGAGCCCAGGTTTTTGGTGGTTTTTTTTTTTTCACAATGTGGTAACAACTGCTCAGAACAGACTTTTAACTGTGGCCTTTGCCACACTTGCACAATCTGCACCAGTTGCCATCGACTGTGTTGACACAGCCATGACCCTGAGGGAAAGTGAACTGTAAAATCCCTGAACTTTGGAATTTCATCCTTCATCGGGACTTTGTTACATCAACTCCCTGTTTCTTTAAGTGAATTTAACAATCATTTATTTGCAATATAATGCCTCTTTAAATTATCAATTGAATTTCTACCTTAACTTTGGAGGCTAATCTGAATTTTATAGCTCATCCCAGGCCAAATTCAAATCCCACTTAATACCAGTAAAGATTTTTTTCAACATACATGAACTAGAAATTAGGTCTGAAAGACTCCAACCCTATTTCTAAATTTCATATTCATTACTGTTACTTCTAGTTAATGGATTTCCCTAATCTAGGTACAAGCAGAGTCTTTCTAAGCATTGTAGGGATGAGCCTCTGCAAAATAAATCCAAGTTTTTAGGCTTTTCAGAAGAATATCTCCTGGTGGCCTCTGCTGAGATGGGGTGGGAGGGAAAATCCAGGTTTCAGCTTAAATCATTAACCTGAATTTTCCTTACCAGCCACAACCAGCATTAGGCAAAGTGAGTGTCCCCAGGGACAAGGGGAACGAGGCAGATTCATTCTGGAAAACATTTACTATGGAATTTTCAATACATATTCCTAAAGGTGCACGAGCCAGAGAGGGCAGGCTTAGATGGGACACTGGGAAGAAATTGCTCCCTGTAAGGGTGGGGAGGCCCTGGAATGCATTTCCCAGAGGACGCCCCATCCCTGGAAGTGTCCCAGGCCAGGTTGGAGCAACCTGGTCTAGTGGAAGGTGTCCCTGCCCATGGCAGGGTGGGGGGAACGGGATGGGCTTTAAGGTCCCTCCCAACCCAACCCAACCCAACCCATTCCACGATCCCCTAAAACCAACCAGCCAAACTGCGGATCCCCCCGCAGGAACCCGTGCTTCTGGCGCGCCGTCCTGGGCCTGCACAACCTGCACAGGCACGGCCCCCACACGGCCAAGAGGAGGATCAGGAGGATCCTGGTGCACTCGGAGTTCAAGAGCGAGACCTTTGAGAACGACGTGGCCGTGTTCGAGCTGAGCTCGGCCGTGCAGTCCAGCCTGCACATCCAGCCCATCTGCCTCCCGCCCGCGCCGCTGCAGCCCCAGCTGGAGAACGGCTCCGACTGCTACGTCAGCGGCTGGGGCCGCACCGCCGAGAAGGGTAACGGGCCCTGCCTCTCCTGCCTGCCTGCCATGCCCCAGGGCTATGCCTTCCCAGGGGAATGGAGTCCCACTGAAACAGGGGGATGTTAGGAAGGATATTAGGGATCTTAGGAATGCCTCTCTGTGTGGGGAGGCCCTGGAATGCATTTCCCAGAGGACGCCGCCCCATCCCTGGAAGTGTCCAAGGCCAGGTTGGATGGGGCTTGGAGCAACCTGAGCTAGTGGAAGATATCCCTGCCCATGGCAGAGGGTGGAATTTATTGTCTTTGAGGTCCCTCCCAGCCCAAACCATCTGTGATTCCAACTGGATTTGCTCAGGTTACGGTCCCCTCACACAACTTCATTAAACTCTCTGCAGTGAGATTCTGCTTCTAGGGTTTTTTTCCATCATGACCAGGTTAGATCCACACAGCTGCAACCACAGGAATACATTTCCCAGCCTTTCTTCCAAGAAAAACATGAAAAAAACCCCCAAACAACTCACCTGACTTTCAGATTTGTGGTCTGCTGGAAACAGCTTTTCTATCAAAAAGCAACAATTCTGACGCTGCTTGTTGTGAACTGGGGGGTCCCCAGGGATTGATGAATGGGGTCCCCAGGGATTTAGGAATGACTACACTCCTTCCAGATCTCTCTTTAATCCTGCTGGGCACAAACTCGATGCCAGCTGGTGTGTGGGAATTTTGGGATCACATGAGCCCTTTAGATAAGTCACCTCTGACACTTGGAGCGAGGCAGGTGCATTACCACTGCTGCTTCTTCTGAGGAAGAACTGCAAAATGTACAGCAAACCCAAGTCTGCAAACCCTTAAACCCCCTCCAGTTCCAATCCATCAGGAGCAGGCAGGATCCGTGTCCCACCCGTGCCTGAACACGTCTGGGAACACGCCCCAGCTGGCGAGACAGGGGGGGGAAAAAAAGCACAGCAAAAAAAAAAACCGCTCCCCACACACCCCAGCACATTTCACCTCGCTGAATTCTGCCTCCATTCCAGGTAAAATCTCCCCTGTGCTGAAGGAAGCCCGGGTGGAAATCCTCCCTCCCAGCCTGTGCAACAGCTCCGAGGGCTACGCGGGGCTCATGGACCACAGGGTGCTCTGCGCCGGCGCCTGGGCCGGGGGCACCGACACCTGCCAGGTGAGAGGGGGGTGGCTCAGGGGCAGCAGCAGCAATTAAAACAACAGAAATGCCAACTAGAAAACAGGCCAAAGGCAAAGGAAGCGTCAGAAAGAGGGGTGGGTCGCTGATGGTGAAGCAGAAATATCTCAGGTACACGTTTGGTGGCGTCAGAAACGTGGCAAGGGCCTGTGAACGCTGAACAAAGGGAAAGGTTAAAGAACGCAACAAATCTGTGCCACGGAGGTGGCAACAAATTATATATGACACTGGACACACGTGTTGCTGTGCCATGGAGCGTGTGTGAAGCACACCAGTGTGCCACCCGTTTTTATGCTTTTGGAAGAGAGCAGCAGCACTGCACAGGGATGGGGCTCAGGGATGGGGCTCAGGGATGGGGCTCAGGGATGGGGCTCAGGGATGTGGCAGGGCTTCCATTCCAGTGCTGAGCAATCACCACCTCTTTCTCAGAAAAGCCAATTCTTGTGTCTGAAGCACTGGCAGAAGCTGCAGCACCAGCTGGGACATGGAGACATTTATAATTAAACCCCATAATGTGCTTTGTCTGATACACTTCCTGCTTCCCTCAGCAGTTTTCCCCGAGTAGGTGACACGGCCAAGAATCAGGATGTGTGTTCCTTACCGTGTGTCTTGGTGCTTCCACACTGTGTGGACAACACATTCCCCAATTAACTGAGGAGTGAGGAGCTGAGGGAGACAAGGCTTGGCATGAAAAGGTGCAGAGAGAAAACAACAGAACTTTAAAGACACTGAAGCAGTGCAGGCCTGGGGTTCTGGTCAGGGCAGTGTCTTGAGCAGAATCAGGAGGAATTTCTTCATGGAAAAGGTGGTCAGGCCTTGGAAGGGGCTGCCCAGGGAGGTGGTGGAGTCCCCACCCCTGGAGGTGTCCAAGGAAGGCCTGGATGTGGCACTCAGGGCTCTGGGCTGGGGGACAAGGTGGGGATGGGGCACAGGGTGGACTCGGTGATCCTGGAGGGCTTTTCCAACCTCAAGGATTCCGATTCTGTGTCACCACACTTACCTTGACTCGTCCATGTTACCGCCCACGTTGCCATCACTGCTGCTGTCGTTAACTGAGCTGCCTAAAGTTAAAAACCCTGCCTTTATTACTGCCTGGATTCTGCCTTTCCACCTTACTGGGGTTTTGTGGTGTTTTACCTGCAGGGCGACAGCGGGGGCCCCTTGGTGTGTTACCACCCCGACAGGTATTACCTGATCGGCATCGCCAGCTTCGGGGTCGGCTGCGGCCGCCCCAAGTACCCCGGGATCTACGTCCGGCTGTCCCAGTACAGGACATGGATCAAGACAAAACTTAAGCTGACCAGCAGGACTCCAAAACCCACGAGCACCACGCTCACCCTCCTCCTGACCGTGGCGCACACGGTGCTCACCCAGACCTTCTAAGAGGGGCAAAACCCAGCGTGGCACCATCGCGGAGCTCGGCCCTGCCTGGGGAAGCTCGGAAAAAACCTGCTCCCTCCTTGGCCCTGCCTGGGAAAGCTTGGAAAAAAACCAGCTCCCTCCTGACTCACAATAAATCCGAGAGCCAAAGGACGTGCACTTACTTTTTAGGAGTCGCGTTTGCAATTGTGGGTTGTTTTTTTTTTGTTTCCTGCCTCTGAAATCCACACTGAGGGGAGAGGAAACGGTAACAGCCTTGGCCCTAATGCTGAAAATTGAACAGAGGGATGTTATCAACTGGCAACACTTTCCTCCCACCCTATTTCTGCGCCTTTCCAGCCACCAGGAGGTTAAATACACTCGGTGATGCCACCAGGGTTTGTGGATGGCAGATGCTCCCTCTGCCGGGTAAAAGCCAGCAGAGCACACAGAGGTTTTAATAAACCATTTAATTAACCAAACCTCAGCTGTGGCTCAGCTTATTGAAATCTAAGAAGGTAAAAAAAACCCCTGCAGAAAGGTAAAAGTTGTTCTGCACTCACGATTTTTAGCATGACAGGTGCTCTTTCATCCGCTAAAATTGACAATTAATTATTCCTGGCCACCTTATGACCCGATCCCACAGAGGTATTTCCACCTGGACAGCACCACTGCAGTTCTGTGCTAGTCCAAAATAAATAGGGACCATCAGAATTATAATATTTTGGCGACTTTATTTACCAAGGTCAAAATTTGCAACCATTAATTGTTTCAACAAATATTTACAAATCATGGAAAGCACGGACTGTTTGGAACCAACCAGCAGAGCAGCACTGGGTGCTGCACCTCTTACCCTCAGGAGTGAGATTTTACTCTTTACAATCGAGATTTTAAAGTAAATCCAAATTAAGAACTTCGTGGTCAGTGATTAAAGAGCGAAACTCGTGTTACTGTTTAATATTCCCACGATGAAAAAGCAGCTGCTCTTTCCAACACACTGTTTTAAAAGAGGATAAAACTTGACTCCTGGTGTGTCTGGCAGCAGGGCAGGTGTTGGACACAGAAAGAACTGGCCACCACGGTTCTACAGCCTCAACATTGGATAGGTTTTGTTTATTATTATTCCATATTACAAAAGGAAAAGGAGAATACCCAGTGAGGATCAGCTACCACAGAGTTCCCAAAGCAGTTCAGAACTGCAGGTCAAAGCCTCTCTCACACGTTCCAGGTAACACACACACAACACCTGAGGGGAAAGGTCCAGATCTCTGAGGTTCACACTCCAGGCTGTTCGTTTGTCCTGAGATTCCACCAAAGAAACAGGAGGCACTGACACCTCTCCAGGAGCAGCTCCCTCAGGGCAGGACTTTCCCGACCTCGTTTCTGATGTGCCAAAAAGCTCTTTTCTGGCAGGGTGGCAACCAGGAGTCAACTCCAGGCTGGCCTAAAGGAAACGCCTCGGGACTCGTGTCCAGAACAATCAGAGATTTAAAAACTGCAGGAAAAACCACCCTTTTATGACCCACTAACCAGGAGATCGTGGAATGCAGATTCCTCATGGCAGAGAGCTCTGCTTGCTACAAGTCCATTAATTCCCAAAGGAGTAAAAATCAAAAATCCTGACTGACCATGGGATAAGCATCACACATCCAGGGAGGGAGCAGAGCTTGGAATTCCACCCGGATCCGAGCGAGCACGACACACAGGGAGCTCCAACACCTTGGGACAGCACAGCCCACAGTGCAATTCCCACTGGCAGAACTGGAAGCAGGACTGGTATTCGATCCCAGCTCTGGAAATGGGGGGTTGTTACTCATGCAAAAGAGCTGCAGACACGGTGGGATCGTTCCCAGAGCCCTCCTGGAATGGGATGGGGGGACGGGACTCTGGAGGTCCTCCTGTCCCACCCCCTGCTAAGGGGGGGCATCTACAGCACCTGTCCAGGGTCAGAACCTGCCCGGGGTCACAACCTGCCCAGGGTCACGTCCTGTCCAGGGTCACATCCTGTCCAGGGTCACATCCTGTCCAGGGTCACATCCTGCCCAGGGTCACAACCTGCCCAGGGTCACAACCTGCCCAGGGTCACAACCTGCCCAGGGTCACGTCCTGTCCAGGGTCACATCCTGCCCAGGGTCACAACCTGCCCAGGGTCACAACCTGCCCAGGGTCACAACCTGCCCAGGGTCACGTCCTGTCCAGGGTCACATCCTGCCCAGGGTCACAACCTGCCCAGGGTCAGAACCTGCCCAGGCCCACAACCTGTCCAGGGTCACATCCTGCCCAGGTCCACGTCCTCCCCAGACGGCTCCGGGGATCTCCAAGAATGGAGATTCCCCACCCAAAAGAGTCCTGATCACATCAAACACTTAATTTTCACCTGAAACAAAAGTGTACAAACTGAACCCTCTGACACAATCAGATCTAATGTGCAGATACTGTCAACTGTGGGGAGTAAAAAGCCCTGATTTCTTTATTATTTATTCTTTTTTTTTTCCCCCCCAATACTCTTTAGGATCCATTTTTTTTTTCCCAAGTTGCCCACAGACATACAAAATTAATTCAAATATCTCCTACACCAAAGAGGAATCTCATTTGACTTTGTACTATCCATAAAAATATATCCTTGAAAATCTGGTTCACAAAATATTTCATTTGGTTACTAAAATGAAATATATAAACTGTCAAAATACGTATAGAAACTCAATTTCAGGTTTTGTAAAGATCACAATTCAGCTACAAAATATACCAACCATCTCCCTGTTTGCAATAGAATATTTGCTTACAAAGACACCCTCACTTTGCAAAATAGTTCCTACCTTACAAAATTAGGCTGGAAATGGTAATTTTGCACTACTTCCAGCAATAACCCAGAAACTAGAACCTCGTAACCCTTTGGTATAGATCTTCCTTTTTTTGTTACTTCATCCTTTCTCTTCTATTTGGTTTCATGTTCCAAAGCCCAGGAGAATCCCCAGCCACTGAGTGTTTCACTGTAACACAATTTAATTTTCAACGACTGATGTTTCTCATTGCCCAGGACTAAGAACAAACCTCCTGTGAAATTCAACTTCCAGAAGTTTGAATTTCGGAAATTCTTCAGGACCTTTTGTCATCAGTCCCTGTCCCACCACACTGTGCTTTAAAACCAGGGATGTGTTGAATTGTCTGGGGAAAATCAGCACAGTTTCCTGTGCCTCAGACATTTCCAGGACCAGGCCTCCCGCTGCCTTCTGCAGATCCTTTTCCCAAATCTGATAAACACAGCAAACATGGATTAAAAATCATCCCAGCTTTTTTAAACTGCCATCTGAGAAAGAGGAAAAACATAATTTATACCTCGAGCAAAGTATCACCTGCACCTGTAAATGCCAACTTACAGGTTAAAATAAAAATATTTACAGACAAGTAACTGAAGGAAAAAGGATTGAAAAGGAGTAAGAAATCAAAACATACACTGGTTATAAATGTTACTAATAATGTCAGCTATGGCAAGGATTCCATTTCATCCACGTTTTCACTGGAACCAAATTTTGCCTCCATTATTAGAGGTATTGGTAGGAATTCTCAAAGAAACTCTCATCACCTGCCTCGTCACACGTGACTGTCCTCCCACTGCAGCTGCAATCTTGACTCTTATCAGTTTCCAGTTGTGCCAGCAGGAATTTTGGTGAGGTTTTCTTGTTTCCTTTTTGTACTTTGTCACCAACACGTTGTAAATAAAATCTATAGAGTCTTTGAGCTGTGAAATCTAGGTAGAAAAGTTTCATTTTTGACCTTTCATCTAGTTTAAAAAATTCAGTATAAAAAAAAAAAAATTCTCCTCTGAAATTTCACCAGTCCCCAAAGGTTTTTACCTTCTTTTCTTACACACTTTTATGACAGTAAAGATCTTTCAAAGTTTTTAGTTCTTCAATTAGAGTTTTGTTCTGGTTTTCCAGGACTGCCACTCGATTTTCCAGACATTTCACATACTCCTTCTTCTTCCTCCGGCATTCCCGGGCGGCTTCCCTGCAACACACAGGCAGGACTGTTCATCTCAGGGTTGTGTCTGTCCCAGGGATGTTACAGTTCTGAGAGAGCTCAACTGCAGGGAGGAACAAAACCAACCCAGA